GAATCCATGTTGGAATCAATGAAGGAATCAATGATGGAATCCATAAGAGAATAAATCACGGAATCAATAAAGGAATCCAGGATGGAATCAATCATGGAATTAACGATGGAATCAATGATGGAATTGATGATGGAATCCATAATGGAATAAATCATGGAATCCATGTTGGAACCAATAATGGAACAAATAATGGGATCCGTCATGGAATTAATGATGGAATCAGTGAAGGAATCGATGGAATCCAAGGTGGAATCGATGATGGAATTCATAATGGAATAAATATTGGAATCCATGTTGGAATCAATGAAGGAATTGATGGAATCCAAGGTGGAATCCATGATGGAACTAATAATGGAATCACTGATGGAACCCAAGGTGGAATCGAAAATGGAATCAATCATGGAACTGATAATGGAATCAACGATAGAATCAATCATGGAATCCATGTTGGACTCAAGGATGGAGTCAACAGTAGAATCAGTGATTGAATCAATAATGGAATTGAAAATGGAATCGATGATGGAACAAATAATGGAATCAATCATGGAATTAATGATGGAATTAATGATGGAATCAGTGATGGAATCCATGTTGGAATCAATGAAGGAATCAATGATGGAATCCATAAGAGAATAAATCACGGAATCAATGAAGGAATCCAAGATGGAATCAATCATGGAATTAACGATGGAATCAATGATGGAATTGATGATGGAATTGATGATGGAATCCATAATGGAATAAATCATGGAATCAATGATGGAATCCAAGATGGAATCAATGATGGAATCAATCATGAATCAATAGTAGAATCAGTGATGGAATCAAAAATGGAATTGAAAATGGAATCGATGATGGAACAAATAATGGAATCAATCATAGAATTAATGATGGAATCAGTGATGGGATCCATAATGGAATAAATCATGGAATCAATAAAGGAATCCAAGATGGAATCAAAAATGGAATCAATCATGGAATTAACGATGAAATCAATCATGGAATCAGTGATGGTATCAATGATGGAATCCAAGATGGAATCAATGAAGGAATTAATGATGGAATCAGTGAAGGAATCAATGAAGGAATCAGTGATGGAATCAATGAAGGAATCAATGAAGGAATCAGTGATGGAATCAATGATGGAATCTGGGAGTCCCCTGGGTTGGAAAATCCCTTTGCCAATCCTATCGGGTCCGACCATTCCCAGCGCTCCCAAAGCCCCCCCAGCCCCACATTCCCGATGAAGAATCCTCAGTTTTTTTGGGATTCCAGGGATTGGAACTCCGTGAATTCCCTGGAAACTTCCACCAGGCTGGAGCAGTCTGGGATAGTGGGAGGGGTCGCTCCGAGCAGAGCCACATCCAGGAATTCCTTGGATTCCTCCAGGAACGGTGACTCCAAACCTCCCTGGGCCGCCCCTGCCGAGGCCTGAGCGCCTTTTCCATGGAAAAATTCCCAAAAATCCCATCCCAGCCTCCCCTGGGCCAGGCCGGGGCCCTTCCCGAGGCGCTGCCGGAATTCCATGGGAAGGATTCCAGAATTCCGGAATTCTGGCTAGGAAGGAGCTCAAAGCCCATCCCAAAGATCCCCCTGGGATCCAGGAGATTTCCTTGGAAGTTTTCCATTCCCAGCATCCCTGAATTCTGGCCCGGGGTCGATCCCAAACTTTCGGATCCCGGAAAATGGATCCGTTCCATCCTCCCCGCCTTCCTCATCCCAAGTTTTCCCTCATCCCTCTCATTCCCAGCAGGGCCCTTCCCACCGTCTCCTCATTCCCAAATCCGCCGGGAGCAGATCCTCATCCTTCCCAATCATCCCAAAAAATGGGATTTCAGGAGCTGACGGATCCCGGCGGCCTCTCCAAAGTCCTTCCAGCAACATTCCCAACCTTCCTCTCCCTTCCCAACAACTCCAAGCCTCCGATTCCATCCGGATCCAAGAATTTTTTCCTCCTTTCTTTGTTTTTTTCCCAGATTTTAGGCGGGATTTTTCCCAGGGAACCTTTCCCTGCCACTGAAGCTCCGCAGCCGCTTCCCACGGATGGCATTCCATGATTTCTGCCTTTCCCGGGAGAAGCGGTGAGCACCTGACAGCTCATCCCTATTTTTAGACATTCCCAGGGAATATCGGGAACGCTCTCCAAACCCTTCGGGCTCCTCCCAGGATTTCATCTCCCGCTATCCCAGGAGGCTCCGATTGCTCCGGAGCCTTGGACATTCCCGGGATCCAGGGGCAGCCCCAGCTGCTCTGGGAATTCCCGCCATTCCAGCCAGGAAATCCAAATTCCCAAAATCCCACCCCCATCTCCCCTTGCCCAGGGAATTCCCTCCATTCCCAGCTCTCCCAGCCTGGCATTGGATCCAAAGGAATTTTGGGATCCA